ATCAACGCTGCCTCCGTACAATCCTAAACATCCACTGGTCAGATTATGTGACTAATGCATCTGTTCTAGAGCAAGCATTAAGGTCATGTTGTTGAGAACACAGCTGTGTTGGGCAGGGCACATCTCAATGATGAAGGACCACTGCCTTCCTAAGATCTTGCTTTATGGTGAACTTACCACTGGCTGCTGCAAGAGAGGAGCCCCGAAGAAAAGATACAAGGACTCCCTGAAACAACATCTCAACCTCGGCCATATTGATCACCATAACTGGTCTACTCTGGCCTCCAATTGGGAGGCCTGGAGACACACCATCTATAACACTGATGTTTCCTTTGAGAACGCACACAGGATCACTCTCAAGGAGAAAAGACAACGCAGAAAGAATTGTGTCTTGCAGAATATACCACCTAAGGAGTCTTTCTGCTGTGCCTTTTGCAATTGGATATGTCTATCTCATACTGGCCTCATTAGCCACCAGCGTGCTTGTAAGAAATGTGGATAGAGCCTTCCCAAATCTTCGTTTGCGAAGCCCAGCCATGATGATGATGATCCTATGATTCCCATAATTTATGGCAATTTCTCTTTCTCTGTGCCTATAAATTCCCATCCCAGCTCACTTGTGCCACAGATCTGCTATTCACAGTAATGCTTAGCTCAGTGAAGCATCACAATTCCAGTTCCAGTAGCACAAAAGAACTCTCTCCTGCATTTTCCCTATATAAATCACTTTGTCTCTAGTTTTCTCTTGTAGAATCAATGGAAGCAGTGTTCAAATGACATTCCAGTTTTCCTGATTGTCCATCAAGTTGAAAACATACATGAGTGTTCTTTGCTCATCTAGGTCCATCTAGCCCTGATCTCTGGTACAAAACACTATCTGTTGGTTGGAACATAGGGGCATAGAAGAACCTACTGCTTTTGGTCCTAAGAGCAGCAGGTCGGAAAATGTCTCACTCCAATACAGCTGCGCCAGAAAACCTTCTGGGCAGGGAGCCTTTCATGCACTGTCCATGCGTGAAGTATAGAAAGATGTTTGCTGACCCGAAGGATGGAGGCAAGGACAGTGACACTGATGTACACTGGGGCTGGGAGAATTGTATAGAGGAGTTCATACTTGAGAGCGTTGGGAACGTGTGGCAGAACAGATTTGTTTAGAATAATATTGGGGAGGAACAACAATTTTCCTATAGTGAAGAGTTTTGTTTTTTTTTATTTATGGTACTAGATTCAAAACAGCATCACTCCTTGATATCCTTCAGAAAGACTATTTTCCTTTTTGGAGGCTGTCATTTCTCAACTTGTTTGTTCCTGGAGGCTCAGGAAGGTCTGATGTGCTTTGTCACTATCCCAGAGCAGCATCCAGGACAGCCAACCTCCTCAGTGGTGGTGCCAACTACAGCCCCTCTTAGAGTTGTGCTGGACCTACCTTTGCATCCCTTCATGGAGCTGAGATGGATATTTCAGACCCTCTTGGTGATGAGAGTCCTGTCTGGGTAAGAGACTCACCATAGCTGAAATTCCCTGGTCATGTCCTGCCCTCTCTGCTTTGCGAGTCCACTTGCAAGTGAGCAGAATGTTAACACTAGAGGATGGCATTTTTCTCTGAGACATTAACTAACTCTCAGGCAATGGAATCAAATCTTGGCTGATTATCTAGGCACTTCCAGAAGAGCAGAAGACAAAACTGTGCTTAGATCTCCAAGGCACCAGTTCCAGTTTGTCTGCTGAAGCTACTGCTGCTATAGTATTTCACAGCATTTGAGATTTTTGCCAGAGTGTTTTTCATACATATTTTTTTCAGTAAGAATGGATTTTCAAGTTGTCTAGTTTAATTTTCTTTTCCTGGTTTCACAGACACTTGCCAATGTTCAGGATGCTTTAATGTAAACACTGGGTTCACCTGGAGGATGTCCCCATGTAAACCAACTATACAAGCTCAGATTTTTCATAAGCTGGCCAGACCTCTTGAAGCAGTCCAAAGAATGTTGCATCAATGTATGGGAAGAGACTTAATCTACTTTTACATCCATTTTCAATAAAACACAATTTTCTCCAAAACATCTGCCTAAAACCTTTGCCCCCCAACTTGAAATACGTTTCTGAATGTAATAAAATTTTCAATTACACCAGCAAAGTAGATATTAACATTTATATCTCTGAGTATCAGGACTTCCCATCCCTCAAGAGATGTCTCCTCTGTATCTTTGCAAACTTGATAAATGAAGCACGATAAATTCAACTGATGTCCCACCTTCACAACAGGGTTATTATAAAACAGGGAAAAGAATGATCCTACAGTAAGTGGAATCAAAAAAAAAAAAAATCTCCCTGTTTTCTTAGTATACCCAGAAATTTCTGGCAAAAATTAGGAAAAGGTGTTTCACTCCTGTATGTGAACATAACTGTAAGGGCAGCTTGCCATATGCTTCACTCATTTACAGAAAATATCCCTGGGATAGATGACCCAACTGTACAAAAATAACAGCCTGGTGATAAATTTAATGTGCAACTTTGACCTACTGTCTTTCTAATACTCCACCTCCTCAGGACTTTCTCATTTCCTAGCCCCCTTACCTGTGGCTCTGTCTTCCTCCATTTCTTTTGTCTTTGTTTTTGCTTTTGCTTATGATTTTCCTTTTCCTTTTTCTTTTTCTTTATTAAATTCAAACTACAGGACAAATGTTTCTTTCCCTTTGTCCAGGTATGGAGATTTCACCACTCTAGGCTAAAGGCAAGTGAAAGTCTACTCAATACTAGTGGAAGCTTTGTACAGGGACAAAAAAAAATCACTCTGGGAAAGTGAGGCATTTTGTGTCATGAAGAAAACAATGCTGAAATGTCACTGCTGTTGAAGTGAGAGGAAATCTCCCCCTGGATTTCAGTTAACTGGTGCCTTGGTCCTGGAATTTGGGACCAAGGAGCTGGATGTCATGAGGGGACAGTTGACGGTCTTGGCCAGAAACATGGCAGTCGTGTCCCATGGGAGCTGATGCCACTGCTCACTCTCACTCACCACCAGTGCCATAACAAACAGAAATGGTGTTGTGGAAACATGGTCTTCATTGCGTCATGGGAAGATGTAACCCTCTGCGACCAATCACTGTGGTCACCCCAGAGGACTGTGCTGGGCTGGTATCAGCCACTCCTTCACTCTCTCCTTATTCCTTATACTGAGAGAACAGAAATAACATTCAAACATTATTATTATGTGGTCATTGGCCAATTTGGTTAACCATTTTGGTTATCTTACATGCTGCCCTTTTTGCTTTAGCTGACAGAGGAGGAGGGAGTGCAGGCAGGGACCTCCTCATCTGACCCTCACCCACACCTACTGGAGAAAAGAACACAGAAAAACATCTCTTTCTCCTGAAACACAAACCTAGTGACCACTACAAATTCCAAATTACACTCAAAGCCATAGTCCAGAGAAGGAAGATCATCCCTTAATTTTTTGCATGTTGGACTAGAAAAGAAAAAGTGATTGTGGAACTTGGGTTTTAAAAAAGACAGAACAAATCGCCTGTCACAGTCAGAAGCCACTTGGTCTCTGAAGGGAGTCAGACAGAGGATTAGCCACTGGGTGAACATCATGGTTTTGCACTGCTCAATAGTTAGTTATTTTCTTTTCCTCTTTTATTGTCCTGTGGTAGCCTCTGTCTGCCTGTTGTCTCCACGCCCAGTTGAAATCTCCATGGTGATTGGTGTGGCAAAAGCAGGCAAGGAGGGCACGTGCTCTAATAGAAGCCTGTCCTCTAATCCTGCACTTCAGATTCTTCTAGTTAGCCTGTCCTGCTCAACAGGTACATTGAAAAACTCCTGTGAGTAATGGATCTGGCTGCTGTCAAAGAACAGGAAATTGGATATGTTTGTTCCTTCCTTAAAATAACCTCAGACAAAACTGCACCTTCCTTGGACCCTGCTTCCATCCAGGCATGCTGGTAACCTAGGTACGGTGGGGCTCTCTGATGATTCTCCACATACTTTATCAGAAGCAAAACAAAAATACTCTTGATGCTGAAATAAGCTACCCTGATGTACAGACACCTGACCTGTGTAGTGGTCAGTCTGGTGACTTCTTCCTTGAAGAAGTCCCAGATACCTGGGATATCTTGTCCTACCCAAACCTGCAGGCACCCAGCCCTGATGATTGTTGAAAGCAGGGTACCAAATCAAAAAGCCCCTGCTTCTGGTCTCCTGCTCTTAAAAACCTGCTGCTTTTTTGAAACCCATCCTGCCCGTCTCTTCCTGCCAAGCTCCAACCTGTACAGTGGATCCTGTTTTCTTGCAGCAAGCCAGGTCTGGCACAGCACTCATGTCTGATGGAAATGGCAGTTTCATTACTCCTAAGATGATTTGCTCAATGTGAAATGGGTGTGCTTGACACAGAAAGATGCATAGCAGATATCACAGACTGAATCAAAGGGTTTGGGGATACCTCATGCTTACTAAGAGGCATGGCCAGAAAAAGAGCCACCCATTCCCCTCTAAAATGCCCCTCTGTGTGCAGGTAACAAAGATATGCAGCCTGAATTGTGATAGTAGTTGGAAACGTTTTAAATTCCATTTTCAGGTCACATCTAGCAGGCAGGCAGGCTGTCATCAGCTCTGATTTTGCCATTTCATTTTCACTCACTCTCATTCATGTGGAAAGATCCTGGAGTGCCCAGGGCTGTGATCTGCTCAGTTCTATTTTTGGCTGCCTCCTTTCTGAAGGAAGGTGATTTCTCACATGTGGTTGTTTTCCAATTATCACTTGTTGAGACATACCCCCTGGTTATATTACAAAGAGAATCAGGTGGCAAGTACATATTTACAAGTCTTTATTCTAAGGCACAGGGATACCTTATTGATCTGAGCTTTGAACTGAAGCTGTGGATACTCTTGGGAATCGTGTTTCTTCTGGGTGAGTTGACCCAGCCTCTTACTCTTCTCTGAGAGATAGAGAAAAAACAGTATCATATAATTTACTTGTGTGTATATGTGAATAGAGTATCGGTGATCCATTGTACAAGATTTAAAATAACCAATTGTCTCCTACAACATGCTCTAAAGTTTCCATTGTATATGATATGAAACAGGCTTTTTTTTTCCCAGTTACTGTTCACACAATGCTCACCAAGCTGTTACACAGCTTCTTCCTTCATTTAAAAAGCTTAATCTTTTTGGTGTATAATATTACTTTGTAAAGCACTTTATCAGGAAAAGCACGGATTTGTGGAGGGATGAGTGGGTGAGCTAGCAGTGCTGTGACCTTTCTGTTTGCTCTGTCACACTCACAAGATGCACAGAATTACCTTTGAGCTCTCTCAGCAGCATAAGTTTGAAAGCCAGAAAAAGCATGATGATAAATGAAATATTTACATTAGTAGGGAGCAGATGGGCTCATTTACCATCAAAAATTAGCTCAGTTATTGACAGCATTAAAATAACACCTCAAATACAGGAGAAAAAACTCAGCAAAGAGGCTGGGGGTGGACAAGAAGTTGGGAGGGAACACAGCTGAGAGAGCTGACTCCGAACAATCAAAGGGATATTCTCTACCATATGGTGTCATTGTCAGTGTATAAAGCTGGGAGAAGAAGAAGGAAAGGGAGGGGAGATATTCAGTGATGACATTTGTCTTCTCTAGTTACCACTAAACATGATGGAGCCTTGCTTTCCTGGGGATGCCTGAGCACCTGCCTGCCCATGGAAAGCTGTGAATCAATTCCTTGCTTTGCTTGTGTCATAGCTTTTGCTTGCCTATTAAACTGTCTTTGTCTCAACCCATGAGACTTCTCACTTTTACCCTTCTGAATCTTTCACCCATCCCACCAGGAAGGGAACGAGCAAGTGGCTGTGTGGGGCTGAGTTGACAGATGGGGTTAAACCATGACACTTCCCCATCATCCACCATCCCAGCAGAGTCACAGGGCAGATCTCAGGAGTTCTCCAGTGCATCCCAGCTGCAACAATAGGACCAGCAGGGTCTTGTTTGGAGCAGCCTTGTAATCAGTTGAGGCTCCCTTCTGTGTGAACGTGTAGCTCAGCAAAACCTCCAGTCACTGGTTTTCTCCATGCTGGGAGCTCCCAGCAGTTGCAGAAGTCCCAGCGAGAGCTGCTGAGAAGAGAGGATCTGTTTTGTTGATGCTGTGGATATTTCACAGCTCATAACCATTGATTTTTTTGGCAGCCACCTTTTCCTTTGCACCACTGTGGTCAGCAGTTGTCTTTTCTTCTTGGAATTTGAATGAATTTGACATATTTCTGTAGTTGCTGTTACTTTGGTGAACAGTTTATCCCAAGGTCTTTACACCAGCAGTTTTCCTCTTCCAGTTGTTTGCTCACATCTCATGGAATGATTTCATTAGACCAGCTTCAAGCTCATAGAAGTCAATGTCACAGTTTCTTTTAGAGGTCATTGAGACGCAGTTCATTTTCTTGCTTGTAGCTTTGGAGACAAATTGAGATGCGTCAACATCCTGATAATTTCTGGTTCTTTCTCACCCATGTTTTCATTTAGAGACATTCTACTTTTTCTAGGCAGACAATAGATCTTTTATCCCTCTTCTTTCTCTGCATTCTTTGACTCAGAAAGTCACACTGGAGAACCAGCTCATAGAGCTTTTCATCTACAAGCACATGTATTCAGCCTATGGTGAGTTGTTTTGACTCTAGTTCAGACAAAAAAGAGTACCAGATGTAAATAAGACAACTGTAGGGCCACGGAACTGAAGGAGAAAACCAGCATCTTTCTGAGAGTGCCAGAAGGATGCACACAGTAAGTGTAGGACCTCCCTGTCTAAAATATGAACTCCACAGGCCTGGACTGTGCAACATTACTTCATACTTGGACACCTGGTCTTGGAGATTTCTGTGAGCAACAGTGAACAGAAGGAGTGCTGAGAAAGAAATAAAAGGTACAATCACACTGCAAAAAGAATAGGCAACAAATTGAAAAGTTCAACAATAACACCAGATAGCCAGGATGGAAAATGCCCTAAAAACATATGATCACACTCTGCAGAGGCTTGCAGTTGAAATTTCAATACACTAAGTGGACTATTTCCTTATCAAATGTGACAGAAGGCAGAGCAGACTGTAAGGTTCTGTACAAATATGAACTATGGCCATTATTGAAAGCAACCCCACTGAATAGTCTGACATCTGGAAATTCATTTACCAGTGAGAACAGTTATTTTGTCCATGCCTAAGTCATATTTCTTAACCTTTTCTACCTGTCAGTCATTAAGTTAGAAATAATTATGAGATTGAATAGCATGTTAAGGGAAAAGTGAGTAGTATGAGAAAAAAAAAGGTCATTTTCCTCTATTCGGCTTCATTTTCCATGTTCCCTTCTGTGCCATTCTCACCCTGTATGAGGGATTCATACTAATGTGAAGGAAGAATCAAGTGGCCTGGAAATACTTAATTCTAAATGTGCACTCCTGATCCATGAAGCTGTCCAACAGAATAAACTGGTGTGGTGGATTTTACTGAAATGGAGTTTATTGAAAAGAATAAGCAAGGGAGTTCATTTTTAAGGCAGCAAGGGTAAATTTGCCACAATTTCCCAAAGTTAATTAAAAAATGGAACTATCCTGTGAGTGCATCAGTGTTCCTATTAATAATAAATCAATAAGCCAATGGGTTCAAATCACGGAATCAGTAAATTACTGCAGTGAGTAATCAAACTGGAGCCTGAGGTTGGCAATGAAATTAGTCCCGTTTCCAACTCTCACGACAGCAAGGAACAGAATTCAAGGAAAAGGCAGCTCCCTTTCATCTCTGGCTGTAGCCTGTAGTAGTCTAACCACTGCATGAAAGTATTTAGTCAGTGAAGAATCATTTTGGTTTCAGGACCATGCCAAGGACACATTGCAATCCCACCCTGTTTCATTTTGAGGAAATGCAATTTAGAGAGTTCCCAGAGGTTCCTCTGTAACATGGCCTTTTCATGCTGAGCTGCTGCCAGTGGTTTCGGGTTAACTGTTCTCTCGAAATACCAACAAAAGCTAGAAACTTCCCAAAGAAGATTAGAAACTCCTTCCGTGAGGTGCAAAACAAATGGTACAAAGAGAATCCACTGCCCTCAGGCTAGCTGCTCTTTCCTCTCCCAAGGCACTTCTTCCCATCAACAAATTTCCAAGCACTGCTCTTCTGACCTGTCTGCCTTGTGGAGA